ATGATTTCTTTTAAAAAAAAAAAAAAAAAAAAGGAGAAAAAAATAATAATTCGATGAGCGCGACGACGGTGTTTCTCGCGAGCTCAACATGCCTAAATCGCGTCACTGTTTCCCTTTTTATTACGCGAATCCTCGCACGGACTACCGATTCGGATTGGATTGGCAAGAGAGAGCCACGTCAATGGGATCGAAGGAGCTCCCACAAAACGAACGACGAAGGAGATACTTGAACGAACGAAGCCACTCCGTAGTCGCTACGTCGTCGCAAGAATTAAATTGCGACTACCGAATGAGGCATGTCGACTGTCTTCGTGGCCTCGGGAAAGACGTCGCGCGACTCTGGCGAGGGAGACCGTGCGGATCGTAACTCGCGACGTCCCCGTCGTATTTGCAGGTAGTGTTGACTCATTGAATTCTATTCATCGAGCATCCGAGTTGCGCGTCACTCAATTACGCGTTTTCTCGGCCTCGCCCTCTCTCTCTCTCTCTCTCTTCCTCTCTCTCTCTATGTATATATGTATATATATATAGATATATACATCCAGGGAGACGAGTCTTTCATAGCCCCTCGATTTCCGTACAATGCACTATTTGGCACCTATTGTGCTCGGCAACTCGCTCGTACATCTGCGACACTGGTTATCAGTGATTATCGATATCTTTTCGCGACTGTTTGGAATCATACTCTGCGAAACATTTTAATTCCTTTGTTGGAGTGATCGAAAGCTCAACAACTCGAGAAGAATCCAATTCAATTCCTCCAATTTTACACGTACAATTTGTTCCAATTTGTTTTGTAGAAGCAATTTGTTAGTAAAAGCTCAAAAAGTCATTTATCTGATCTTTAATAAAAATATGTACCTTAGAAATATAATGTGAAATGTTTATACACACACACACACATACATACATATATATATATATATATATATATATATATATATCTTTTCATATAAATTTTTTTCAGTTTTACTATTCAATTTTATTAAATTTTCTAGTAACGCAGAAATAGACTTTTTGCTGAGACTTCTTTTACTGACATAGTAGATTTTGCTAAAAACATTATTTTTTAATAATATATATAATAGTAGCAATAAGTACATAGAATTTTCTAATAGTACATTTTAATTCTTAAAATAGTAAATTTATATGTACAAAACAGAATGTCTGTCTGTCTGCCTATCTACCTGTATGTATGTTCTTTACTTCTAAACCCTCCGACCGATCTGGGTAAAATTTTGCATAGCTACTTTCTAAAATCTTGCGAAAAATATAGGCTACATAAGAGAGAAACCTAGACATTCTACCCCCTTGACTTTTTGATAACCCGGGTTGTTTCAGTTAGTATGAAATAAAAGTATAATCAATTACTACAGAATGTCAAGCTGTTTCTGAATTACAAAAAATTCTATAGTAACTTCTACTATAAAATTCTCCTTGTGTAAAATTCTTTTATCCATTGTACGTAAAAATTTCGTCGAATGTAAGATTTGATCGTGAAAATCAATCCCAAGATGCACTTGAAACAAGACACCAGGATGAACGCAATGCACATTCAACTGCCGCAGGATTTCTATTCCTGACGACGGGATAATGATAAGGGGTGCACAAGGATTATACGTGAGGAATATCGTCGTCCGCTCTTCACCATCATTCATCGTGAAATTAAATCGTAACAAAATGTGACCCTACTACTAGAACAAAACATCAAGTTGATTATCAAGATTATCAAGTCAATAAACCCCAAAACGGAACAAACTCCTAGGGGGCTTTAATTTTTTCCACACTCACTACACACTAATTGTGTAACATTGGTTCTTTTGGTTCTACAAATCCTGTAACTTTCAACAAACTCTCTTTATCCCTCCTTCTCTCTTTTTTTCTTTTATACCTTATTGGAAAATTCATGAAAATAAAATGAAGAAAAAGGATATTTTTAATAAATGACTTTTAGCTGTATTAAGATCTATATAATGATTTTGTAACGAGCGATTACGTAAATGTCGATTAAGTCTAACGGCCAGTGATTGAGTCGTTCGCCTTCATTTAAACGCAGGAATCGTTAATCAAAGTAATCCGACCTGGATTGCGGATGAAGGAGCTGGCCCCGGGCGATTTCAATACGACCTTTTCAGGCACGTTGTTATTCCGATGATGACCTTCGGGGCCACCTCTATCCATTACTCGGGCGCTAATCGTCCGTCACGCGTGAAAAAGCCGCGCGGTCGAAACAGATTAGCGACGGCTCCTTTAGCAACAAGTTGCACCTCGTGTGTTTTCCCCGGAGTTTCCTAAAATCAACAAGTGAACTCGCTTCCTGCCTGGAATTTCTATATTGCTTTCTCGTTCGACTCCACAGGTGGCAAACTGGCAACCAGAACGACTTGCTGAGAACCGGCACGTCGGTCCGTGGTTATTTGCATGCTTCTCAACAATCGCAGTGAGAACTCGCGCGGCAGCACACGCGTCTATTCTTCCTCGCTGACCAATGCCTAAAACTTTACTATGCCGGAAGTATACGCGGCGCCGTAACGCGGCCGCAAAATGTACGGCGCTATCCTTATCCATGGAATGTGTTAAGAGGCGTTTTAATAAAGAGCCGACATCGAGCGATGAGGACTCATATAGAGGATTCTTCGCGATCTTTGCATTCCTGTGTAGTCTCGAAGTAAATTCCGCATGGGTCGCGCCATTCCTAGGCGGCTGAAGCCGGGGAATCTTGATTACGTTCGTGTATGCCATGTTAGACCGAAAATTACGAAATGATTTGGCTGTAATTCAATTTTTATGGATTCCTATGCCCGCATTAGTCGCCATTTGAAACTTGTGTGTCTCAAGTAAGATACTCAGACTTTTATACAGAATCAAATCCAAGTTTTTCAGTTGAGTTATAGTGTGGCATTTATATCTGTAGTCGCGCGACGAAAAACTCTCATCTAACTCTGAATTTCAACCTGACTATTCTCACTAGAAACGAATTTCAACCAATGACTATTATTAATACTCCTAATAATCCTATATTAATTAAAACTTAATTAATACAGGCCTTAGAGAGGATCTGGGTCCATCCATTTGTCAAAAGCAAGGTGTTGGGAAGTAAGTTCTAATTCTCCTTGAGCACTGCGATCGTTTGGACTCAGAGGATATTCTACAGCCGACTCACGGATTCTTCATCGATGTGCAATATAGAAAATTGAATAATCGTGAATGACTAATACCGATTCTGTAGAAAATTGGCCGATTTGTAAGAGGGGTTGAGTCGCGCGTGAAGGGAGTTGATGATAACGAAAAAGCAATAGTACTAGAAAGGCATCGACTTGCACCCTGATGGAGAGAGACAAACGGCCAGAATAATGCCGAAAAAAGAACTCGCTGCCTCCCGGGTGGAAAACAACGAGAAAGAAACAAAAAACAAGTGTAGAGGTAGGGAGAGAAACGTTTATTAACTTATTTATTATTTGGAAGAAATTCCAACCGGGCACGCCAAATTTTTGGGATTCACTGTTAAAAGTCTTTCTTCAATCCCTGGATTTTTCAATATTTATTAATAAAGTAATAAATATAACGTAATAAATAACGTCTCTAATTGTAAAAGTTAAGTAATTATTAAAATGTGAAAAGTATATTCGCAGGATATTATTTATGAAAAAATATCGTGTATACCAAATTATAAAATTTTTGTAGACATATTAAGTGTACTTGTTAAATTTCATTGGCTTCATGTCTGTTTTTTGGCAAATTTAATTTCTTATTATCTTGAATTTATTATCTTAAAGAAGGTAAAGGAAAGGTGGCAAAGAGGAGAGGAGGAGAAGTACAAGACAAAAGTATCACACTGTTGTTACATGTTATGCAAATACCACGTTATACACATGCACATGTGTACACGTGTGAGTGCGCGTGAGCGTAAGGGCGAGCGTGTGCGACGCGTGCGCTGGTGTGTGCGTCTGTCTGTAGGCGCATGCACACGCGCGAGCATGCATTTGTGTGCGTTACGTGTAAAACAAAGAGAGACGAATAGAGAGACAGAGCGAGAGGAGGGTGGCAGCCGGCGCGAGGGAGGAAGTGCGAGCGGGAGAGCGAAGGGGTGAGAGAAGGACGCGCGAAGTGCCGGGGTGAAAAGCGGGGAACCCAGTGACCATGCGCCCTGTGGCAGTTGGGGGCTTCTGGATCTTTTGGAGGATCAAGAAGAGGACGTCGAAGAAGCACGGGAGACGCAGACGGTGGTGGGCAGAGAGAGCGACGGCTCCGGGCCGGCACAAGCGAAGTGAGATGCACCCTTATCGCTCTCAATCGTCCGTGCAGTTTCTACCGGGGTGCCCCGACGCTCCTCGCCAACCGGGACGCGGCCTCGACGACTAGCAACGATAGCGGCGATACAGGACCGGTGAACGCTCGCCCCGAGAGAGCCTGACACGCCAGTGAGTATATCTTGAGAAACATAACGTTAGTGAGAGTAGATCCGGAAACGCGGTGCACTCGTCAGATACGAAAATTGGGGGTAAGGACGCGCGGATTTCGGGAATGTACTATCTCGCAGTCGCGCGGAAGTTTACGGTGACGCGCCGATGATTCGTGAGGGAATCGCGATAGGGATAATTTTGCATTTATTTATCTGTGCCGTCGCGGACTCGCTGTGCGTCCAAGCGGTGTCCAGACGATAATGAAACCAGAGCTGGGCGTTCACGCGTAAATTATGCCGAGCTTTGCGCGTCCACTTGGCGCGAGACACGTCTCGTCTCCACGTCTGCGTGGGGACGAAACGTAAACTATGCATGAGATCTTATCTGTGTAGACAATGAGTATAATCTGTGGATGTTGTTTAAACGACGTATGGCTTGCTCGAAAATTAATTGACAAAAGTATCTGTTTTTATCTAGTCTTTAGAATTTCAATGTAAATGCATAAACGTTGGAAAGTCTACAAAATTCATTGGTTACTTTCTTATCTGCGCAGAGAAAGAGTTAAATATATCTTGTCACGTAATGAAATAAAAATTTCATATGCAGTTTGTTACATTTTTTAAATATTACATTTATAATTAATACCCAAGATACATACGGCAACTATCTCATAATTTAATTGATTTCTCTCTCTCTTTCTGATGTATTATATATATATATTTTTTATATTATTATATAATTATATATTTTTTTACATTATATATATATATTTTTTTTCAATATATAATTTAAAATATTCTACGTAATTTACACATAAAATGTTCTACGTAATTTACACATACATTGCCTAATAAGTGAAAAACGCGTAATACATTGCATAGAAAATACGTAAACATTTTGTATAGACGTAATACTGAAATCTACGTATAACCCTGAATAAAACAGTGATCGTATTAAGTAATAGAAACTTTGATTCTCAAGCAGCATGCAGCAACACGGGAAGGGATACGCGACCGTGTTCGTGAGCGAACGGCGCGAAGTTATTATTTTTTATACACGCTACAAAGTTCAGCCTGCACTTTCCGTGCAGTTTTCCGTTCAGACATTTTAATAACATCCCACACAGCAGAAACTTTAATACCGACGTATAAATCAACATTAAGATATCTTAAAGGTTCTTGAAGAAAAGTCTTTGAGAGATTTCTTAAAGAACTCTTGAAGATATTTTAATGTTGACTTATGCATTGATTTTACAGCTTCTGCTATGTGTCATAATAACAATTTTCTTATAAATTGGTACATAATATTTCACTTTTTACTTTAAATTTATTAATCTTTATATTTTAGCATTGCCAAGTTTCTAGACAACCTATTATATATGTATACATTTATAAATCATGTGTGTAAAAAATAGTGTATTTATATATTACTATTTATATATACAGTAATATATAAATATAGTATTTTTTACACACATGATTTATAAATGTATACATTTTCGTAGGTGAAATATTATAAAATTTTTTTTATAGACTGCACCAATCAAAATGGACGAATTACGTGCGCAATAAAATTTAAATCGATCATGTATCTTTTTGTCTAAACGCGTAAATAAAATAAAACAATTTCATTGATAAATTTAATAAAGTTCAATGATGATTACGACTGCATTTCAATATTCACTACTAGTACTCAAGATCTATAGTTTGTGTCACATATACGTATAGAGTTTCAGTATTGGTAGTAAATATTGGAACGCAGCTTGCGAGTTTACATTAGAGGAAAATATACATCACTACACGGAGGAAATTTTATAGTAAAATGTACTACAAATATAAAAATTCAATCAAATCATATTCTATTACTTTAATTGCCAGAAAAAATCATACTTCACAAAAATTAATAGAATATAATTTTAAAAGTTGAAAAAATAAAGAAAAAGTATGTATTCCTTGTGGAAAAAACTTAGTATAATTGAAAAAAAGAGATAATAATAACAAAAAATATATTCATTTTAAAATAATGCTAATATAACAAAACGTTTAAAATCACAGATTTAAAAATTAAAATCTACGATTCGTATGTGTTATCATTGGAAATGAAAATGATAATAATTTATTCGGTAAATTACGATCTGACGATAATTTATTCGGTAAATTATGATAAATTATTCAGTAATTTTAAAAAGCTGGTAAAATGCAGAAAAAAATTATAGAAATAAAAAAATTTTAGTATAAAGCTCAGGAGGAGCATTTAGCTTTTAAGATATATGTAAGATATTTTATTCAACTTATATTTTCGATAAAATATTTAAATATTGTATATTAATATATTATGTATAGCATATAGTAATTAGGAAACTAAGTAACTAGAGAACTGTAATAACTAGAGAAATTTAAAAAGATTTTTAAAACCCCAATCTATATTTTTCATACCTCGAAAACAGCTTCAATCTATATTTTTCATATCATCTTACAGGCTTAAAGTATTTTTATTTATTATTTTGTTATTCCAGCGATTGAATTGCTATATATATATATATATATATATATATATATATATATATATATATAATTGAAAATTTTTAATAATATTTTAAGAAATGAAAACTTTAATATTTTCGAAGGTATTGTAAATAGTTTCTTTCCTTTCATCTGAGAAACATTTCAGAGATTATTGATGTAAACTTAATGAGAATATAAGAAAAATTATTTTATCTTGTGCATTATTGCGGAAAGCTCGGATATTTGTGCATGAAACTATCAAAAACAACGAATTTTACTAAAATTAACAATAAATTACCATTATATCGTAATTTTATCGTAAGTAATCGTCACTTTGAATCTGATGGTAATTTTAGATCATTTTTTTTCTATTTTCTCTTCTTTTTTTCCCGCATATTCTCTGCTTTCTCTCTTACTTTTTTTTCTTTTCTTTTCCTTCCACTTTTATTTCCTTATTATTTAATTTTCTGTCTCCTCTTCATTTCTTCTCGCACATTTTCTCCTTTCTGTCTTTCTTTTCTCCTCCTTTTCTTTTCCTTCCTCTTTTTTCTTCTTATTATTTAATTTAGCTATAAAAAGTAAAAACGGCATAAAGTATTCAAGTTTTACATCGTTATATATTTTTATGCATTCGCTGATATTTATATAATATTATCCTTGTTAACTTCATAGTTTTTTTTCATAATTATCCTTTTATTTATTCATTCTGTTACTCACTCATATATTCCTCTTGTCTTTCCTTCTTGCTCTCTTATGGTTTTTTACCGTCTTATTATTTATTTTCATTTTTTCTATGTCCTCTTCATTTCTTCTTGCACATTCTCTCCTTTCTGCCTTTCTTTTCTTCTTCTTTTCTTTCCCTTCCTCTTTTATCTCCTAAGTTTTATTATTAGCTATAAAATGTAAAAAGACACAAAGTACTCAAGTTTTACATCATTATATATTTTTATGCATTCACCGGTTATTTATCTGATATTATCCTTGTTAATTCCATAACTTTTCTTCTAAATTATCACGGCAAACACACTTCGCAACTTTTAAAACTATTATATATTAAAAATATAACCTCGTTATAACCCCATTCTCGTACGCGCGAACTGTCACTCGATTCCGCCGCGATGACAATTACAAGTTGATAAATCGGTAATCGTAACAGTCTCGCCATCTCGCCATCTAACGGAGAACATAGTCAATGGACATTTCTGTGGTGAGGAGACGATGTTTCTTACGCGTGAATTCACGATTTCAGACTTTGAGCTAAGATAGCTCAGCTTCTGGAGCACGTAGAAAAAAAGTAAAGACAGTTTTATTAAGTAATGTAAACCCAAGGAATCGATTAAGTTCTTCCAAAATTTCGTCAATTCAGTCGTTATAGCCGAAATAAGAATTTAACCTACATTCAACTAAAGCCGTCGCGTTTATATTAATTATACACGGTAGGCCGCGTTGCTTCGCGCTTACACTTGGCTTCGCGTGTCGCTTGATTTCTAGTTATCAATTTAAACGCTGAACAAATACATCTGCTAAAAAAATTTTAAATATTTCTTATTTTGACACTAAATATATTTTCGAAAAATAATCTTTTTGCTTTGTATAATTACTTGAAACAGCGTTTCTACATATTGTCCTGTACGTCGTATAAAGTACAGTCTAATTATTTCAAGCGATATATATATATATATATATATATATATATATATATATATATATAGGGTGGGGTTTAAATGGCTATATATATAGGAGAGCTACCATGCTATTAAATGTTAATAACTCATGTTGCGGTATCACGTTTAAATTACTTGATAGGAGTATTAAACCAAATTATTGCTTAATAGATATTAATTATTTTTAACTAGTAAATCTATGTATGACAGGTTATTTATTAATTAGAGCGATGATTATTGCAAATTTGATTGTAAAATGCCAATTTATTGTAACAAGTGATAGTCTCTAGCGCTCGAAATGAATGAATTTTGATGTTGGAAAAATTTTCATATCCTCGAGTAATGACAAAAATATTCACATCCTCGAACATGGATTGGTAAAAAATATATGTTTTTACACCACTTCCTGGTAGTATAAATTTAAATAGTATCATTTGAAAATAAAAATATTATATTACATTAGCTTACTATGCCTTATTCAAGTAGAATCAATTAATTTTTTAAGTTAATGATTTGCAATACCCATTCTAAGAATAGTTCATCAAAAGCAATGTTTTTAAGCAAATTGTTATCAAATATATCAGATATTAAATATATAAGTATCGAATACTAATTAACATATTTCTTTGTCTGTAATTCATAAAATTCATCATTAAATTTAAACGTTTCATTTACAGTCATATTCATATATTTCATCATTTATCGTACGATTACAACTTTTAAGAGGATGCAAAAATGGATGACTAATTCTAAAAATATCGATAACATAAAAGTGGTTGTCAAAACGTCATGTCAGATAAACTCTAACACGATCATGCCATTTTTTTTCATATTTTTTGTACATATAGAC